TTACCCTTGGCAGGTTGAGAAAGTGCCATTTTTTTTTTTTCATTCTGAAAACTTTGTATTTCAGAAAATGCAAAAAGGTTTGTATTTTTAAGACGTGTCCATTTTATCTAGGTTGTTAAATGTATGGGCACAGAACAGTTTGTTGATGTTTCACTGTCATTCTTGATGTCCGAAGTGTCTGTAATGATGTCCCCCTTTTCAGTCCAGATATAGGTTAACTTGTTCTCTCTATATTCCTGGTGAGCTTGGGTAAAGGTTTGTCAATTTTGCTCATCTTTTAAATATAGATACTCTTTCCCCCCATATTTAACTTTTTTATTGTGGTAAAATATACATGACATAAACCTTACCAGTTCAACCATCTGTAAGGGCACAGCTCAGCAGCATCAAATACACTCACGTTACTGCGCAATACTACCCCATCTATTTCCAGAATTTTCATCTTCCCAACTCTGCACTTCTTAAATGCTAACTCCCCACCCCTGTCCCCTGGTCTCTGCTCACCACCATCTCACTTTCTGTTGCTGGGAATCAGACCACTCTAGGCCCCTCATCTAAGTGGAATCATACAGTATCTGTCAGTCAGCTTTTGTGACTTATTTCACTTTGGGCAGTGCGGGGGGTGGGGGTTGGGGGGAAGGATAAAAAGAAATTCACGCCAACAGTACACTCAACCACATCCCTTCACTGGAGGTAATGATGGATTCCCCGATGTTTCCTGGGGTTGCCCAGGACATCAGAGCACAGTGAAGACAATTCCCCAGTCAAGACGGGTTCTTTATCGAGCTCTCCTTCGGGTCTTGACTTGGGGAACCATATGAAGGAAGGGAACTGAACCTACAATTTTTCCCCTATGTGCCACATAATCTTTGATAAAGTTGAGCGGCAGATATTTCAACAGTGTGGTTAACAGCGCAGCTGATGAAGAGCAGTCCATATGTTTAAAAGCACCAGCAGATGGGAAGGGTACCTTCAATTCTGGTGGAAAATAAAAAGCCTAATAATGGGTGGCCCCTTCGTCACCATTGTTGGCTTTCAGTTTAGGCACAATCACAGAATCTTCGTTAGCTTTTCTAAAACAGGCTGCAGTAAGTTACTTTTGGGTCAGTCCCAGGCGAGATGAAGGGAACTGACAAGGGGTGGAGGGGAGGGACGGCCACCTTCGCTCTGTAATCTGTTAGTTCTGATAGTTTGGTTGTAAATTCTTTGTGACTTTCTACTTAGACAATCATGCCATCTGAGAACAGAGATTGTTCTAGTTCCTTCTCCTTTTCATGCCCCATTGCAGGCTAGGACCTCTAATATGATGATGAAGAACAAATACCCCTGCCTTGTTCCTAATTTTAGAGGAAAAGTGATCAGTCTTTCACCACCAAGTACAGGTTAGTTGTTGGGTTTTATAGGTTACCCTTGGCAGGTTGAGAAAGTGCCATTTTTTTTTTTTTTCATACTGAAAACTTTGTATTTCAGAAAATGCAAAAAGGTTTGTATTTTTAAGATGTGTCCATTTTATCTAGGTTGTTAAATGTATGGGCACAGAACAGTTTGTTGATGTTTCACTGTCATTCTTGATGTCCTAAGTGTCTGTAATGATGTCCCCCTTTTCAGTCCAGATACAGGTAACTTGTTCTCTCTATATTCCTGGTGAGCTTGGGTAAAGGTTTGTCAACTTTGCTCATCTTTTAAATAAAGATACTCTTTCCCCCCATATTTAACTTTTTTATTGTGGTAAAATATACATGACATAAACCTTACCAGTTCAACCATCTGTAAGGGCACAGCTCAGCAGCATCAAATACACTCACGTTACTGCGCAATACTACCCCATCTATTTCCAGAATTTTCATCTTCCCAACTCTGCACTTCTTAAATGCTAACTCCCCACCCCTGTCCCCTGGTCTCTGCTCACCACCATCTCACTTTCTGTTGCTGGGAATCAGACCACTCTAGGCCCCTCATCTAAGTGGAATAATACAGTATCTGTCAGTCAGCTTTTGTGACTTATTTCACTTACTGCAATGTTCTCAAGGTTCATCCATTCTGTAGCGCATGTCAGAAATTTCCTTACTTTTTAAGTCTGAGTAATATTTCATTGTATTTATATATCACAGAATACATTGTTTATCCATCAACAGGCATGTGGGTTCCTTCCAATTTCTCATTATTCTGAAATATGCTTCTATGAACATGGATGTACAAGTATCTGTTGACTCTCTACTTTCACTTCTTTGGGGCATATACCCTGAAGCAGAATTACTGGATCACATGGTATTTGTTCGATATTTTGAAGAACTGCATACCATTTTCCACGGCGGCCGCACCATTTTACATTACCACTGGCAGTGCATACAGGTAGCAATTTTTCCACAACCCTGCCAATGCGTGTTTTGTTCTTTGGGTAACAGCCATCCTCAAGGGTGTGAAGACATCTCAGTGTGGCATTTCCCTAATGATCATTTTCTACCCATTTAAAAGGGTTTTTTTTGTTGTATGGATATAATTTTTGGTCTATTACCTTTATTATCTTTATGAAGTCTTCTGTTTCAAATTATGGAGTGAAGAGCTGTTTTCAGGGCCAAAGAGCATTTCAACAAGTTGGGGCAGATCCTTAATGGGCTGAGAGCCCCCAAGCTAACCATGGGCTTCAGTGGCTGACCCTATAGGTAGAGCTGATGACCCGTGGGCCTGCTGAGTCTGAGACACACCCTGAGTCTCTCCCAGAGGCTTCAGCATCTGGGGATGGGTGAGCACCCCCGACTTGCCTTTCGGATAATGAATTTTTTCATGTAATGAAATCCCCCTCGTTATAACCGCAAGCATTTGTGGAGCTGTATTTAGAAAGGTCTGGCGGGTTTTCAAAGAGACATCTAGCAGAATTTCGGGGTCCTACTGCTGGCCTTGCCCACTGAGCTATAATGCCCAGTTCTTCCTCGCTGCCCTGGGGCCCTGCTGTCTCTCTTGGAGGAACCTCCCTCCGCTGGGCATGTGTGGTGGGTCGACTGGGGCTGGTTCATCTTGTTCTCAGCCTGTCAAAAAGAGTTATCACTTAAACCTATGGAACAGAGTGGACCTGTTGGCAAACGCACTAAACGCATCAGCTCCCAGAGGCAGGTTTCAGAACCCTTCGCAGTAGTGACTGTCCCATTACGGGAACGAGACCCGCTTCAGGTTTTGCATGCAGGCGGTTCACTACATTTCCGGAGCACTGCCTGATCTCTAGCACGAGAACATCACCCAATTCCAAGGAGCGGCCAGGTGTTCAAAAGCCATAACCCCCAAGGACGGCAGTGCATTCTGTATACTACAAGGTCTACTTTTTCCAGAGGTTCCAGTTTGACAGCCTGTGGACGCACTGTCCTTCTAGTCTGTGCTGCCACTGGCCGGGACACGGCTCCTTCCTGAAGGCACAGGAGGAGCCCCCACCGCCGCCTGGGCTCCCCAGCTCTGCACCCACCCTTCCATGTCAGCAGTTCTGCCCTGCACTCCCGTGAGGGGTCTGTCTGGGGCACCTGATGGTTATCCTTAAAGGCGGAGACTGTCTACAGTCTCTTGGTCACACCCCCACAGCTCCAAGCACAGGGCTGGCCTTATAGCAACCACCTGTGAACGTCACTTTTGTTCACCAAAGCTTCACAGCGTCAACACCAGCCTGCATGTCATGTCCTGACCCACCCTCAGCTGCAGTCTGTGGTCTACTTACAAGTTCTAGGCAATAAATAATCTGTACGGCAAGCACTTTCTCCCTGCTAACGCAGGTCGCTTGTGGAGGAAAAAACAACTTTAGGTGGTTTTACAGCTTGAGGAAAGCAAGACAAGAATTTCTTGTTTTGTTGCAACCTCAACTAATATGCATGCCTCTGGGTTTTTATTTTTTTAAGTCTTTTGGCCGAGCTTCTTGGCATGTGGGACCTGACTTCCTGACCAGGGACTGAACCCTGTGATGGAAGTGGGGAGCCTTAATCCCTGGACCGCCAGGGAAGTGTCACCTGTCAGTTTCACATTCAAAACTTTAAACCGTGAGTTAAACAAAAGCACCTACCGATTTGACCCGGCACGTCAGGGATCCAGGAAGGAGAACAAGAAGGCTTGCAGGGAGCGGTGTAACCACTGGTGCCTGCGGCGAGGCTGAGCTGAGGGTCCTCGAGGAGCTGGAGCAGCCAGTCCGAGGTCACTGCAGGGGCCCGAGAGGAGCGGGAATGCAGGTCCCGTATCCACTCCTCCCAGCCCCTCGAGCCCCTCCCAGTAGCAGGTCTAAGGGGAAGGGCAGGTGTCCTCCAGAGGAGGGCCAGAGCACTGGAAGGTGACGTGGAATGAGACAGCAGGTGAGTAATTGACACGATCCACGCCTAGTTGTCCGATGGTAAAGGGCATAGACGTTACAAAGAACATTTTTATGATGACGCTATCTGCAAACACACACATATTTCACCATGTAAAGTGTGCAGCCCAGTGACACTAAGTACATGCACATGGGTGTACAACCATCACGACCATCCTTCATGATGTTCTCATCTTCCAAAGGTGAACTCTGTCCAGGTAAACACTCACCCCCCGCCCCTGGCGCCCACCAGGCTGCGTCTCTGCCCTTGACTGTTCCAGGCCCCTTGGTGAGTGACACTGTACTCGGTCTGTCCTTCTGTGCCTGGCTTATCTCACTCAGCATGATGTCCTCAAGGTTCATCCATGCTGTCCATTCCCCTGCCGAGGGACACTTGGGATGCTTCATTTGGTTACTGTGAATAAACTTGTGAACATTAATGTACAGCATCTGTTTGTGCCCCAACTTTCAACTTTTGGAGGTGTGCACTCAGGACTGGAATTGCTGGGTCGTACTGCAGTTCTATGTCTAAATCTTTTGAGAAAGTATTGAAATGTTTTCCATGGTGAAGGAGGCTACATTTTCCTTATCAAAAACACTCAAAAGATTAAGATGTGGAGTTCTGGAAGAATATCATCAGATACGTAATTTATGATTGCACAAGTAAGTGTAGCAACTCAACTGTCATTCATAAATACAAAATTTTATTTGCACTTCATTAGTGTAGAAGGACCACAATGCTTCTCATATCACAACACTCAAGACACGCCAAGTTATTCAAATACATAATGACTTATTTACCTTGACTAAACAAACAGTGCAGTTTAATAAAAGATATACCGAAGATAAGAGTTCACAAATTCATTATCAGACCAGGAAAAAAAAAAAAACACAGTCTAGGCTTAATAGGAATAAGCTTCACCGTCGAGGGGAGAGGTTTTATCATTACAAAGGTATATAGAATGTTTAGGCAAATATGTGTAGATTCTTTGATATAGTAAAATGCATCTCTTTAAAATTCCTTTAAACAGGATTTGTGTAGGACAGCAGCGTTCTTTTAAAATCTTCTATAGTTTCAAAAACATTTCTTTTATTGAATCTTTGTAGTTCTTAAAAGCACAGAGTGCGTTCATTAGGAAACCAGACAGATTCCGAGGCCTCAGGACCAATTCAAGTCCTACATTCTAACTAGTTATGTTCTACCATTAATGTGAATAAATAACCTTCAAGACCTTTAAGCAAGCATGGAGCTCGCTTTGTGGGAAACACTCCAATCTTCAAAGATGCTACAGCTGGGAGAAATGTAAATAAAGAAAAAGCATTCAAGGTTGTTTTTTCTCCCCCCAAAGTCTTTAGTTTTACAAATTTTCTTTAAAACAGTAAGCAAAGCACCACGTTCTTTCTTCTTATCAGAATATCTCCATCCTCATAATATAGTTAACAAGGACAACTATATTATGTATTTCCAGAAACATTATAGCTCTCATTTCTCCTGTTCTTCGTATCAGAAGTACGACGTTCCCAGTGTACACACACTAGGCATTGGGATGATGAATGAAATATAATAATTTGGAGGGAAATATGTCATTTATAACCCAAACTTACCCAGGATTGCATATCTGCATATTTACAAGTTAGTGTATAGCTCTGACGTGGATTACAAAGTGCGAGAGGAAATTGTCAAAATGATTGTAGTGCAGAATGCGACCGTCCCCCTGTCCAGGAATTGCGCCCACTTCGCCTCCAAAGCGGCGAGTCAACAGCATCTCACGTGTGGTCTGGGCGGGGGCAGCTCTGGGGGGATCTCAGGCTCGGGTTGTAATGAGAGGATGCTGTTGGACAGCTCGTTCCTAAGCATGTCCAGGGGCATCTTGGAGATAAAGGAAAAGACAAACGCATTGTAACTCGACAATGTAAAGACTCTGCAGACTATACAGTTACTGAAGACCAAAGTGTTTTTTTTACAGGAAACTCTCTAATCGTCAGAGTTCAGTTATACATTCAGCCAGAACCTAAGAACCAGGTTCAGGGAGCTTCAACCATCACAGAAAGGCTGTGCAGCCCATCTCACACCCTTTGGCAGAAGAGAGCAGACAGACCTCATCAACATTTACCTTCACAGCCCAGGGGGGTGGAAACTTAAGTATCACAAAAATGAAAAAATGGTTCTGTGTTCTCAGGGGGGCATACCATTACTAAAGGAAGAAGCACCTTCTCTTGGCAGCTATACAGACAGCCATTGTACTAGACGCTTCTGAAGTTACATTGCACCGAGGCGATTATGTGTAATAATAATACAAAAACACTTAAAGATCTAAGGAATCTCTGGATATAAGCCCAAAGATGCTTAACAATGTGCTGTTGCCCAATGAGGTCATCTTCCTGGTCTGGCGCCACGAAAGGCCGCACCAGACAGGAAGAGCCTCGATGGGAGGCAAGACCCTCACTGTCTGCACCTAACAGGGGTCTTGTGAGGAAACTCGAACAGGAGAGGAGCGAATGTCAGACACNGTCTGGCGCCACGAAAGGCCGCACCAGACAGGAAGAGCCTCGATGGGAGGCAAGACCCTCACTGTCTGCACCTAACAGGGTTCTTGTGAGGAAACTCGAACAGGAGAGGAGCGAATGTCAGACACACACAGCCCAGTCTCCTTGGGCTTCCCTGCTGGCTCAGTAGTACAGAATCCGCCTGCCAATGCAGGAGACACAGGTTCGATCCCTGGATTCGGAACATCCTCTGGAAAAGGGAAAGGCAACCCACTCCAGTATTCTTGCCTGGGAAATCCCATGGACAGAGGAGCCTGGTGAGCTACAGTCCATGGGGTCACAAAGAGTCGGACGCGACTGAGCAACTAAAAAACAACAAATGGTCACAGCCACTGCACCTGTGTGCCAGGCTGAGCGAGGACGTGGAACGTGGCCCTGAGGATGTGGTGAGAGGCTGCTGCTGCGGGGGGCTGAGTCCTCAGGCTGGGTCTGCACCCCCAGGTCTCCAGCCTGACCACCACTGGGGTTTGCTTTCTACAGGAGAGGTTCCCAACCACAAACAGCAAAGAGAATGATGAAGAGGTTCCAGGTAATGAGCTGTCAGGACACAGGATTTTTTTTTTTTTTTTACCTTTTTCAGGATGTCATCGACAAGCTTCAGGAAGATCTCATCTACATTGAAGTTATCCTTGGCGCTCGCTTCACAGAACCGCATCCCAGCTATCTGCTGTGCAAACTGAGAGCATGCGTTATTGGTGGGTGTGTGTGTGTGTGTGTGTGTTGCGGGGAGGAGGGGACGACACGTGTCCAGTATAAGCACAGGGTCCATAACTGGGAGGGGGAACAGTTCTCAGGCTTTGGTGTTCAGACAAAGGCTGGGACGAAAGGTCTGGAAAGTCCTGTTTATCCTCAAACATAAAGCTCATTTACATTTGAACTTTAATGTAGGAAAGTGCAGCAACTTCCTATATGATGAGAAATCAACAGAACACAGGCTGTGAGGTGACACCAGGACCCTCAAGTAAAATTACGTGCATAAGTGTTTAAACTGTACTGTACCCGACATTTAAAATGTATCCAAAAAAGTAAAATGCGAGTGTCATCGATTTTCTGAGGAAGGTTAGCGTTAGAATAGGAAAACATCATGAATGCAATGATATGGGTTAAAAGAACATTTCTCTGTATAAGATGTCAGGTAGGACAATAAACAATGCCGTGTATTCTCATGTGTCTTTTCTCCTTCGTTTGAAAAATGAATTTAAAGGAGCAGGAAGTTAACCAAAGCAAACAAAGACGAAGGATGTGACTGACTGCATTTTCTCAAGTCTGAACCGTAAAGTAATTGATTAGAAGGGAAAGCATGCAGGGGGCTCACTGCACGGACACGGGTGCCTCCCCCCACCGTCCACTCTCCTCACCTTTTCACCCTGCTGTCTGCTGATCTCTCTGTCAGTTTCACAGTCCAACTTATTTCCAACTAAGAGAAGCTCCGCGTCTTCCGAAGCGTACTGTGGGATCGCAACAACAGGAGCAAAATCTTGAAGCCGGCACGTCACACAAGAGGGAGACACAGCCCCAGGCCACACCTCTCACCCCTCCGAGCATCTGCTCTGACTGAGAGGGGGCTCCCACTGGGCGCAGGGCAATGTGGTCACAGGCACGAGGAACCACGGATGCTCTCAGCCCTTGACCCATGACTCCTAGGAATCTACCCTAAGGACTGACTCGAAATACAGGCAAAGCTTTGTACTCGGTCAAAAAAACCATAAAGATCCCACAAAGTGGGTGAAGAATGAAATAAGCTAAGGTACATAAAAGAGTGAAACCATAAAAAACCAGAAAATATGCTCTGGAAGAAGAGGAAGGTGACATAGGAAGCCGCCCGGGATAGAATATTTAGTGAAATACCATGACCTGAAACGACATGCAGTACAGACGCATTCTGGGTTTTCTGGGTGAGAGCTACAGACTGTTTCAATTTGCTTTTGTGCTTTTACTTGGTTCTCTAAATCTTCTATACTGACAAGGTACTGTTAATTTTATGGTCAGGAAAAGTTAAGCTGCATTTCTAAGTTTTAAAAAACATGCAGGCACAGTAGAATCTCTCTCTTTAAAAAGGTCAAAGATGTCTCAAGTAACTCCCTGAGTTCACATGATGGGAGAAGGACTTCCACAAAGGGTACCCAAGTGGTGACCTTGGCCAGGTTAACCAGGGAGCTCTGTCTCCTTGCCAGTAACGGGGTGACAGTTAACAGTGCCCCCAATGGGGCTGGTAAGGGGAAGAAACGGGAGCACAGCTGCACAGAGGGAGAAGCGAGAGCCGGGGATTAGACGGAGGAGGGCAGGTTCCCCAACAGAGGTGCCCTTCACACCGAGGCCACTGCCTCTCGGTAGCTACGTCACTTGGTTCTGAGCCGGCAGCGAGGATGCCCCTGTCTGGGGTCCTTGGGAACACACCCCGCGGTCCCAGAATCCCAGAGTACAGACCCAACCCTGGTTCTGACATCTCCGTAACCCTGGCAACCGGGGTCTCCAACACACTAAAGAGACACACATTGAAAATGCGCTCGGTAAGACCTGCAAAGGAACGTTCTCCACTATCATCTAACAGATGGGTTTAATACAATCTATAAATGAAATCAGATTTATAATATATGAAGGGTGCTTGTTATGCAAAGGAGCTAAACCTCAAATTACTAAACGAGGGGGAAACAACTCTCAAATGTGGCCACTGTTTACACATATCTCACCCTCAACGGCTTTGTCTACTCATTTCTTAGTGGGGGACCCACAGGTTATATAAACTCAGTTTATTTCTACATAGTCAACTGTGATCCAAAGGATAAACTCTTTAGTTCAAAATGAGGGGGTGAAGGCCGTCTCTAGTTTTGCAGCCAGAGGTCCAGTGGGTGACCGAGGCCTCAGCATGCCCCCGGGCACAGTAGAGAAGACAGGCCCTGGGAGGCTGTCACTCTGTGGACACACGCAAAGCGAGCGCTCACATGAACTTTCTGCAGAAATAATAAAATCTGTCCTGTATCTGATTCCACGGAAGCAGCCGGCCCCTGTGGGATGACCATGTGTGGGCTTTGATGTCAGACAGCCCAGGGACCAGAACACCAGTCCAGGCTTCCTCATGTACAAGCTGATCCTGAATGACCTTGGCCAGGTTAACCAGGGAGCTCTGTCTCCTTGCCAGTAATGGGGTGACAGTTAACAGTGCCCCCAATGGGGCTGGTAAGGGGAAGAAACGGGAGCACAGCTGCACAGAGGGAGAAGCGAGAACCGGGGATTAGACGGAGGAGGGCAGGTTCCCCAACAGAGGTGCCCTTCACACCGAGGCCACTGCCTCTCGGTAGCTACGTCACTTGGTTCTGAGCCGGCAGCGAGGATGCCCCTGTCTGGGGTCCTTGGGAACACACCCCGTGGCCCCAGAATCCCAGAGTACAGACCCAACCCTGGTTCTGACATCTCTGTAACCCTGGCAACCGGGGTCTCCAACACACTTTAAAGAGACACACATTGAAAATGCGCTCGGTAAGACCTGCAAAGGAACGTTCTCCACTATCATCTAACAGATGGATTTAATACAATCTGTAAATGAAATCAGATTTATAATATATGAAGGGTGCTTGTTTTGCAAAGGAGCTAAACCTCAAATTACTAAACGAGGGGGAAACAACTCTCAAATGTGGCCACTGCTTACACATATCTCACTCTCAACGGCTTTGTCTACTCATTTTTTAGTGGTGGACCCACAGGTTATATAAACTCAGTTTATTTCTACATAGTCAACTGTGATCCAAAGGATAAAATCTTTAGTTCAAAATGAGGGGGTGAAGGCCGTCTCTAGTTTTGCAGCCAGAGGTCCAGTGGGTGACCGAGGCCTCAGCATGCCCCCGGGCACAGTGGAGAAGGCAGGCCCTGGGAGGCTGTCACTCTGTGGACACACGCAAAGTGAGCGCTCACATGAACTTTCTGCAGAAATAATAAAATCTGTCCTGTATCTGATTCCACGGAAGCAGCCAGCCCCTGTGGGATGACCATGTGTGGGCTTTGATGTCAGACAGCCCAGGGACCAGAACACCAGTCCAGGCTTCCTCATGTACAAGCTGATCCTGAAGACATTCCAGCTCTTCTCTGCCTCACCTGTGATGCAGGACTATGCACCTACTTTGAATGCAGTCTGGATTAAGTGACGTTCAGGATAGAAAAGCACGCTCCGCGACTGTTTCCCTTCCTCCTGTTGTCACTATTAACACCCACAGCGGAGAGTTCACATCTGGGAGAGAAAGGCCAGCGCCTACCTTATCGATCATCTTCATCCATTTTGGCAAATCATCGAATGTCTCCTTCTTAGTGATGTCGTAGACTAATATGATCCCCTTGGCACTTCTGTAATAAGCTGAGGTAATGCTGTTGAATCTCTCCTGACCTGCCGTGTCCCTGAGAAACAGCAGCAAAAGTCAGTCCCCGAACACGGTGGACAGGGAAGACTCAGCCCCACCGTGACAACTCCCCACAGGTCTATGCACGTTTGGTATTAGTGGGGGCAGCTTCTCTGAGCTAGGTGCTTTCAAAAATCTTAAGGAAGTCCCAATTTCTCCCACACCAAGATTCTGGAAAGAAGTAAATGCCGTGTATAACAGTAGAAAGTGCAACACCCCATAACTTGATGGTTATCAATGACAAAATGTATGGGTGATATTTAATTTAAACAATTTAAGCCTAGCAATCTCTATTAACCAACCTCAATGGTGACTATCTCATCTGAATTTGCTGATAAGACCACCAATAGTCCCCACTAACGAAAAGTGCTATAGTCTTTGTCATTTTCTTGGTCCTTCAAACAGGTAAAGGAGGAAGAGGACCCCCAAACTTTGCAAACACGGTCAGGTTGACTACTCTCCGACCGTGACCTTGAAATCTAAAGCTTTCTCTCTTCTCCAGGAAAAGCTGACGTTTCCACAGGAAGACATACACGTATTAACAGTGCACACTAGCTGGCCGAGACCCACTTTCTCCACCTAGGAAGCTGAGAAACTGCGTGAGAACTATCACAAATTTACAAATGAGGCTCAAAAGAGCAGGCCTTCTGACCAGTAAAATGATTTCTTTTAAGCCGATCTGTAATTTAGCTTTTCCCTAAGAACCCTAACTCTCAGCGCACTCCGGGAGCCCTGTGACACAGGTGGCTTGTGGTGGAGAAAGCGAGGGGCAGCGGGGGACACAGAAAACGAGGTTCTTCCTTGCAAGATGCTCACAGACTCTCACAGGACAGCGCTGAGCTTCCGAAAGGGGGAGACACTGAAACCTCTTCCAAGTGCATTGGATGGGGTGAACCTTGTGGGGTCGTGTCCCTAAAGCCCCTAACACACACTTCGCAAAGGTGCTGTAGTTGACGCCTTTGTTCCAGGCTAGACTCGCCACCAAATTAGCTCCCCTTAGGGATGTGTCATCAGGCCAAACAATGAAGCCTGTCGGCAAATTCATTTTCACATAAAGCAAAGCCCACACTTTGCCCCAGGGGATGTAAGACTCCCCGGTGCTCTTCCAAGGCTGGAAGGCCCAGGGGCTTAGGCTGGTCTGCTTTGTCCACCAGGGTCCAGGGGGCCTGGCCAACCATAGGCCCTCCATCTACAGACGCAAAACAAAAGGCAAAACAAAAGGCTACGTGTGCAAAATGCAGGAAGTGGATGCCAATTCAAGGCAAAATAAACTTTATTTTTTGACTCAAAACTGCCCCCAAACTGGATTCCTGAAGAATTCAGGGTAAAATAAAACCAACTTGCAGACACTAAAAGGCACCTTCCAATCAGGTGAGAAGGAACTGACTCAGATACTGTTTCATTCACATGAGGAATCAGTGAATAAAATTATTCCCGGGACCCTAGGCATTTAGGGGCGTAATTAATACTTTTAAAAAAAAAGTTATCTTCCTGACTGTGGTTTCTCTTCCTATCACAGTGCTGGCTTGTTCAAGTTAGGGTTTGATAAAACAGCTCTCACTCACTTCTATAAAAAGCAAAAATAACATGTTTTTCCACTCTGAAGTCTGGGGTTAGCGCATTATAGCTGCAGCACAAATTTAAAACAGCAACTGGGTATAAGGTGTTCACCGAGCATTTGGGGAATTATGTGCTCTTGTGAGTATATATGATAAGTAGTTTTATCATGGCTTTTAGCGTAAATCAGTTTCACATTTGTTTCTCTAAACATTCACTCAGTTAGGATTCAGAAACTGGGGGCTGAAGAACAGAGACATTAGACATAATACAAGCTTTTGGAAAATCATTTCGAGGCTGCTGTGGTAAGAACACTTAACATGAGGTCTGACCTCGGAAGCAGGAACAACAAAGCACCACTACCCACAAGCATGACATTGCACAGCAGACTCCTGGGAGAAGTTTTAATAAAAACCCAACAATCAAAGAGTTGGGATAGTAATAGGCATTTCTGATATGAAGATTCTGTGGAAAAGGAAATGGCAGCCCACTCCAGTATTCTTACCTGGGAAGTCCTAAGGACAGAGAAGCCTGCCGGGCTATAGTCCAGGGGGTTGCAAAGAGTCGGACGCAACTGAAGCGACTCAACAACAACAAACGGTTAGCGTACAAGACGCCAGCGAGGAAACATCAAGGCCATTCCCTAAACTCCATCTCTGTGATCAGTTCTTGACTGTGTGAGGCAGAAAAGCATCTCCACTGAAGAGAATAATCCATATTTCCAAAATATCTGGGTTGCCAGAGTTTTAATTTTCTATTCCTCTTCAGGTCTCCTTTGTTTGATCATTTCCCCACTGAATTATCTGCTCTCACAGATGGTCAGAGAGCAAGGTAAATAGAATCCAATTCAGTTCAGCAAGTATTTATTAAATTCCTACTCTGAGCCAGGACCGCAAAAATTCCACCCCAGTCTCCATGTCTCACACAGCTGGACAGTAATATAATACCAATGCCCCGGTTGGGCTCTTATCTATCCAACGAGATGTAGAATCCTCATATTCCCACCTTTATCTCAATGAACCTTAGTTTCCACTGTAATGACCGAGAGCTGACTTTCAGAGATTTACAGTTTATTACCATCAGCCAAATCATCATTTATTGTGGGTGGAACATGGTATTATTATTATTATTATTATTATTATTATTATGTCTCTCTCTGCTTTGGGGACAAATTGAAAACTTCCTGCTGTCCTTTCCCCCCAGTTTGGTACTACAACCATGCTTTGAAAAACCATCATTCTTCTGTATTTACTATATCTGGTGAAATGACACAATTCTTAATTTGCAGGAATCAATGTCAGTGTATGAACGTTCCACCTCTTCAAGCAGAGAATGAAAGGAAACAAGCTTGATGTCAACACAGGGACTCCAGTGGAAACCGAATTCGCCAACAGTGAGTACTGGACCGAACAGGAGACCTTCCTATGGAGCACCTTTTTTGGGGGGTGGGGTGGGGTGGGGGGCATGCCATGCAGCACGTGGGATTTTAGCTCCCCAACCAGGGATCAAACCCACACCCCCTGCATTGGATGCTCTGTAGGGGGAACTTCCACTGGACTGCCAAGGAAGTCCCCCATACGGAGCATCTTAATTACGTGTTTGCCATGAGGCAGGAGGCCAGTTTTTCAGCTTCAAGTCCATGTCAACACAACAGCTGGAAGCCTCTGTGAGTAATTTCCAGGATAGGCGCTGCTGCTGCTGTTAGGCCACTTAACTGTGTCTGACTCTTTGTGACCCCAAGGACTATAGCCTGCCAGGCTCCTTGTCCATGGGATTTCCCAGGCAAGAATACTAAAGTGGGGTGCCATTTCCTTCTTTCCTTCCTTTCCTTCTGCAGGGGGTCTTCCCGACCCAGGGATCGAACCCACGTCTCCTGCACTGGCAGGCGGATTCTTTACCACTGAGCCACCATGTGGATGTAAATTCATGAATCTACATTTGGGTTGACGTCTTATTTTAAGTATACTTACACCAAGTTCTATATACATACACGTAGACAACACTTCAAGCAGAGATGGGAAAATGGTCCTTTTTCTAACCACAGATGATCAAGGAACTTCCCAAAGACACGAAAAACAAAAGCACAAGACAAATAAGCAACCCCCGTAACCCCCAGTCCTTCAGGCGGGTGGAACAGCCAGCGATGACCCACGGGACGTTACCTGACAGCCGGTGGGCGCCCCGCTCGGGGGCGCGGGTGGGGGTGAGACATGGCACTAACACGGAAGCACTAGGTGGCGATGGAGCCGCCGGCGCGGCAGCAATGAACGCGATGGAAGCGACACACACACGACGGACAGACAGAGCTGAGGTCCACCTGCGAGAGGAGTTAGTGGCTGAGACGCTGCGGCAAGACGGTGTTAGCGACAAGGGCGGCGCAGACGCCACTCCCTGCTCCACAGGGGCACCTCCCGGGTCCCCAAGGAAGGGTGGCTGAGCGGCCCCCGCACGGCTGGGTTAGTCTCTCACAAGCTCCTGGGGTGCGGGAAGGGGGCTCTGGGCTCCCCGCACGGGGCACAGAGGAGCTCAGGGCACACGCGTCCCACCGAGGACATGCCCAAGATGTGCAGCTCTGGGCTGGGGGCCGGGAGTAGGGGAGCACGCTGGCCTTTCTCCGGATGCTTGCAGAGTAAGTAACTCTGAACACGTGTAGACAGCACTGGAGGGATCGGCTCAGCGACCACGGTTTGTCGGATGACGTCAAACTAGAGACTAAAGGCTCCAAGCCAGTCACCTTGGAAGTATCACAACAGTCTCTCTAAGACCCCCGTGGCAAGCGGGGCTGAGCTACACGGGCTCTTTCCTGAACGCTCTCTAGAAGGAAGCTCCGTTCACTTCCCTTGAAGGAGAGCGGAGGAGAGGAAATGCAGGAGAGACAGACCAGCTCGGACGGTTAATTGTATTAGACAAGCGTGTGGACTGCTGAACACACACGGTGATAACTGGGTGCAGGGCCCCACTTACCAGATCTGTAGCCTAATTTTCTTTCCTCTTAGCTCTACGGTTTTGATCTTAAAGTCAACACCTGTAAATAAAACGGACGAAGATGAAGCAAAAACAAGGCAATCTGTCAGAAAAGCAGTACTATTTGTATGCCGTTGTCGGAAAAACCATAAAACTGACCACACTGAATTCTAAAAGGAAAGAGAAGAAATCCACTGGTCCCCGAGGCGAGTACACTCTCTGCTTCTCCGCACAACGCGTGAGCGTATGTTAGGTTCTACCCCGAACTGGAGATGAAGCACTTGCTATTTGCAATCGAGTTTAATACTACTAGAAGTGCAGCTTAAAATCCACTTAAAAATCACAATGAATCATCACACAAACAAACAATGGCTTTATACACATGCTATCTTGGGGGGAAATTCTTAACGTGGAGCACTGGAAACTCAATCTTGATTTCAAACAGCCACAGTCTGAATTAAGAAATTACTGTAATAAATTTTTTAGCATTCACAAAAGTGACTTTATTATATTGCCAATAGTGTGGAAGAGAAATTCTTTTTGAAAAATTTTACTCATACAAATTAATTTTATTTTTATTTATTTTTAAAATTTTATTTTTAAAATTACTTTAATAGTAGCAAGCAAACCATGACAAATCTCCATCCCTCTCCAGTTCAACCCTTAAGGCTTCAGATAATTTTTTAGAGCAAATTTTCACCTGTGGATATTTCCTTATCTACTTCTCAGTTACAGAAAACTTCAATACTTTTTAAATACAAATTTCACAATATTTGTGAAATAATATAAAACAGTATTTTTTACACAATTCTCACAACTAAGGAAAAAAAAATAACGCCAGCTAAATGTGGGAAGTGGAAACCTAATCTCTATGGGAACTATTAATATCTTTTGGCTGCTTTACGGATCCAGGGTCCCGATGCTGCGAGGTGGAGGATGGAGGGGGCACGACATAGCTCTTCAAAGTCAGATGATGCTCCTGAGGTGACGGGCAAGGCGTGTGACTGACTTTTATAATTAGCAACACGCCACAGACATCAATGCAACCAGAAGATGTGTTTACAAGCTTGGGTGGGACTGAGGTCTGTACAACAGAGAAACGTTGCAGGAATATAGAAGTCATGGCTGGAGAAGAGGCCACGGCACCTCGCACCCTGGTTCTTACTCTCTCCCCTAGCCCTGATCTCAAAGCTCATGCAAATGCTGGGGAAGCCAATTTCACTTTCAGTTCTGGAACAGCTTTGCTTTTCCAAGTCAGATGATTCTCAGCCAGCCTTGGAACAGGAAGCGTGTCTGTACACGACCAACATCCTCAAGCACAGACCAAGCGGAATCCTTTGTGCTTCAACCACAGGGAAGCGCAGAGCCTAACGCGATACTCTAGAGTCACAGGAACCAGCCTGCACCTATGTGCTATGCTCTGATTTTGAAAAGGCACAGCTCAGACAAAACCCCTTCTTCCTGATATCAGCACAAAGCTAGGGCCTCACCATGTTACTCTGTGAGGGTGATTTACAAATCTAATTCACACTGTATCATGGCCACTATTCTGTTTTGCTTTTGTTTCTAGTTTTTGTTTTTTTTCTTCAGTTTTACTTAGGGGAGCTGGCCACTTGTTACAACTTGTTGCAGCGGCTGCCACATTTTACTGAAAAGAACTAGCAGATACTTCTCTTGTGAGCTCTGCTTCAAGTTAAGGACAAGAATCTCTAGAAACAGCACAAATAATTTTTGTTTTGATTAGGCTGTTTTCTCTGCTAAGAACCGCTCTCAGTCTGATCATGTCAAGTCTTTTTTTTTTTTCAACCAACTTGAACAACTTTCTGACTTTAGCAGTCCTGCACTATATTTTGTAATCACAAAGTTTAATGAATAAAAATAAAGGAAAGGGTATTAATAGTCAAAAGCAGGAATAAGTGGTAGTGTTATCATGTGATTATAAACACACTGCTAAGCAAAGATGAACGAACAGCAAACAGGATGAAGAACGTGTTTCGCCCAAACTATCTAGTTTTAGTGAGTAGATTAAAGACATTAACAACAACAATAGAAAAATACCCACTGGCTAAATCTAAAATTCCATAAAAGGAAAAAGCTCATTAAAATAGTGCTTGCTCTTAAATGAAGTCTCTTTTACCATATAGTAACCACTATATAGCTAACCACTAGGTTAGCTGGTGATGACTGGAAACTTACTCCAATCTATGGCTTAGAAACAAATCTTTACATCAAAGTATACAGCTACACATTTTTAAAAAGCTTTTTTACATTAGGTAAAAAATATCTCTTAGTGTCCATTGTTAACATTTGCAGGTCATAGAAATTATAATGATTCTGAATAAAAGGTAGAAAGTCACCAACCACCTCAAGGAGGGGATTAGTTTTGGGAAAAGTCAGCACAGAGTCTCCTGACTCAACAGGGAGGCCCAGGACCAATGTTTATAAACAGATAAGGGACCGAAAAAAGTCGTAGCTTTTATTGAAAACCCATTTCCTACAGTGTCCTGACCATCCGGGGAAGCAAGCAGCTACAACTCTGTTGGGTGGTAGAGGCAGTCCCATCCTGAAGACCTGAGTCATCCAGACCTAAACCGACAGGCACTTGGTGAAACGCCCTCTCTGCTCTCCTCTCCTGGAGAACCTCCCCGTCTGCCCAGAAGCCTTTTCAGGCCCAGGGGTCCCCTTCTGCGCCTCCCGACGGCTCACCTGCCCCCCTCCCTCCCAGTCCTGCCCGTCCAGCCCTGCCCCGTGGCTCCGCTGGTCTCCCTCAGGTGATAGAACAGGCGCCTTCTCAGGACAGTCACCTCTGGCCTTTGGCGCCTAGAACGCTGCCAGGCACAGGGCAGCGGTCCAGCAAATCTGATGGAGACCCGCCCCTCTTCTCCATCGAACGCTGGGTGTGTGTTTAAATTGTAGGAAGGAAGTACGGATGCTCTGTCGTGAGCCCGTCTGGCGGGCAGAGCAGCAGGATTCAGGGTGCCTGGCACACACACATCACCCTGGAACCTGAGCATTCCATTTCTCCTACAATCCCAGCTTGTGGTTGTTTAGTCCCTACATTGTGTCTGACTGTCTTGCGACCCCACGGACTGTAGCCCGCCAGGCTCTTCTGTCCACGGGATTTCCCAGGCGAGAATACTGGAATGGGTTGCCAGTTCCTCCTCAAGGGGATCTTCCCGACCCAGGGATTGAACCCATGTCTCCTGAAGCAGCAGGTGGATTCTTCACCACTTAGCCACCAGGGGAGCCCTTACAACTCCTGTTTCCGGTGGAACATCCTTAGCGGAGGGCGGTCTTCATATGCCCAGGTCCTCTCCCTAAACACGCCACCCCCACCCCCCAGGGGATTATCACAGGAACCATTTACTCAGTCACTGAGACAGGAAGTGATCCACTAAGAGAATGTCCTGCTGGGTGACGGGGTCTAAGTCTTCCCAAAAATATTTCCATCAGGAAGGACACAGGTCACAGGCTGTAATCCTTCTGTTGTATAGACACGACTATTCTATTCAAGTCTTTCTTGATCTTAATTCCCTTTAATAATGATGACAGTGTCTATCAGACCCCTGAGCCTGGCATGCAACATGTTGGCTCCCTCAGGAGCCCAGCAAGCTGGGCGCTACCCTCATAGAACAGAGGAGAGACCAAGGTCAGATCACTTCTGCTAGCTGAGTGGCAGAATCTAGGTTCAAATTTATAACACTGTCCACAACCAAAAGTTGTTATAGAAGTCAAACATGTGGAAACAGGGAAAGTGTGAAAATCTTCTGCAAGTGGCCCAGGTCACCATAACTGTTCTTGAAGCTCTTCAAGAACAGAGCTTCACCTGGCCCTGTCACCTCTGTACACTGTTGTTTCATAAATCTCAGCAAGAGCATAAAGAATTGTCACACTCAGTGCTGGTTAAGATTTTGAGGCTCCCCGGCAGGCGAAACATATCCAAAAAAAACATTACCATGTTACTTTTTACTGAGGCATAAAAAGTCACAAAAATGAAAATAGCAAAAATAAACAGAAGTTTCTTTCTTCACATCCCCTTCCAGCACAAAGTTTAATAAAAGCAGAAATGACCAGTGGCCCACGCCTGGGATACAGCTGAGTGTTCGTCCCCCCTCACCCCCCCCCCCACAACAACAAGGACTTGGGGTTGGTGTGAGAGTATGATTTTAGTTGACTTCAGTTCAGATACTGCAGTCCATGGGGTTCCAAAAGAGTTGGACACCACTCAGCAAATAACCAACAACAAAACAGGTTCTGGAGGCTGTAGGACTTCACACTTTGAAATCAAGTCTCAGTTCAAGCAGTGGTGACAAATTGTTATTAACTGTTACTGCCAATTTATAAGAACTATCTTGGGATCACAGGCTGGCCTTTCTCCCAAGGACATATATCTTTCAGTGTCACCCCATCCTGGACGTAATCTTTCCCCTGATGGAGGCTTCCCCGCATTTCCACTGAGTTGACAGTGAGAAAGTAAACTAAGAAATGTGTCAAGGTCACCCAGACGGAGGAACATTTACTATCAGAAAGCGGTTTCTTGACCATGAGGCCAGCCTTCCACCTGACCACTGTCCTTCGGGAGAAAGCACAGATGCATCCCCCCAGGAAAGCACCTTACAAAGGGCAGGCAAGGCAGACGACCCTCCTGTACTGCCCCGGGGGGCTCCCGAACCACAGTTTAATATCATGGGGCTTCTCTTACTTAAGCCGAGCTATGAGAACTCAATGGAACGAAGTAATGCAACTGTAAAATACTTGGATCGCCTCAGAAACAGGTGCTACTAGAATAGTTTAAATGACTGCATGTCATTAAACAATGCTCACAGGCCTGAGGATATCCAGCGTCTGCCCTGAGTCTAACAAGACCCGCCTCCGCAGTCCAGACTGGGCGGTCTGTATCCCAGCAAACAGATAGTCCGCGTCCCTCACCTGCACACACACAGGAGACGGTCCTGCACCCGGCTGGAAGAGACATGCCGCACATGAACTTCACAGGCGGGACAGGGGGGTGGAGGCGGGGTAGTCGAGGTTACTGAGCACATGGGCCCCGCTTTTCATCCCAGCGTCTCCACCACTTGCCTCCCCTCCTGCAGGGACCAGCCAGGCGAGCAGGTGAGCTTCCAGCCCCCTGACGGCCGGTGGGTGGAGTCTCACCCAAGTACACACCGCCCCTCAGAAAACACTTGCTGAATGGTGTACAAGGCTATGTTTTCTTTGCAGATTCAAACAAACGCTTAATTAAAAACGCTGCTCCTGGCAAGCAAGGCCGGAGAAAGCTCTGGCCCTACCAGCAGTCTAAAAACTCAGGCTGCCTTCTGAAGGCCGTCCCTGCACCCCACAGCTGCAGGGGAGGCAGACTTGAAGGTTCTGGGTCCCTCTCATCCTGCAGAGGCAGACCTTTCTTCTCCAGAGAGAGTTCCTCGGCGACAGAAAGGCCGAATGCACGTAAGCCAGGTCTTTAAATAGATTTTTATCAGCCCCAACAACCCGATCGCCAACTTTCCACACTTTCTGGGGAAGATAGCTACTTTATTCCACAAATGCATTCTGCACAAGCCTATCAGCATGCTCTGAGTTCACTAAATAAGCCAAACCGCACAACGCACAGCGCAGGCTGGCATGAAAACCAGCGCTCCTCGCCCACTCCCGTCTCCCTGAGTCATCCTGTTACATCAGCCCAGCAGGGGAGGGGCTGACGCTGAAAGGTCTGGGCTCTGGAGTGGGAATTCGGGACAATTCTCCCTAATTCCCTTGTAAGTGAAATAGTCGAGCAGCTCAGCCATGGCTTCAAAGACTGCCCAGGATCACAGAGGAGCAAGACAAAACGCACAGCTTAGCATTTTAATCCAGTATGAAATGTTCATTCTGGGTTTCCGAACAAAACTCACTGACCTAAATTTCCAGGATAAAGTATAAGCGATTTCCCTTGACAGTGGTTCCACTCACTGTGTGTAGGCAAAGCAGAGTAGACCCTAGTGGTGGGATCTCCTGCCTCCTGCCCGCTCACGTTCAAGGTCAGCCCACAGCCAGCCATGCCTGCATGGGATTCACGGCCACCCGCACCTTGGACCCGCTGGTTCTGTTTCTGGCTCTACTACGGGGCCGGAAGAACCACCTACACCTGCAGCATTAGGCTTCCCTGCCTTGGAACAGTGAACACAGGGCCTGAAGGGGTGGGCTTGAGAACAGAGACCCCGGCACATGACTGAGTACAAACAGGGCTCCACCGAGCGCTCTCGTCTAAGACCGCTTACTCTCAGGGCCAGGCTGTGAAGTTAAGTTACTGCTGCAAAATGAGGAAAACGTTGACGGAGTCGTGAGCACCTCAAACTGAGTTCAAAGAACTTTTAAATTCTGTCTTTCCTGTTTTGGGGGTCTCCTTATGTTATCTTTATTTTTTTGAAAAGTTGGTGACAGTGGATTGTTTAAAAATATGTCCTTACGTGGCAAAATAATAAAAGAATTGGCAATCCTATGTGGGCCTCGGGCATTCTGGAAGAAACTTGACTGTTCGGGAAACTGATACTCTGGTCCAAACAGTCTCACTCCTCCTTTTCCTGTATTTAAATGTATTTTAGTAAATATTTTAAAAGTTTCAGATAGTTGAATGATTAAATATTTAGAAATGAACCTTTTAAAGCATCACTCCCAGAGGAAAGTGACAAATAATGGGGGCATAGTTAAAGAGAATCAGTTTCAGTGATACCATTGATGGCATCACTCACCACCTTCACAGGGTTGACGCGGGGCCAAATTAGACAAGTAGGAAAGAGTCCCATCTACATTTTCAGAGTAAAGTGAACTTAAATCCCAAAGGAAGCTAACGAACAGACAGACAGAAGGAACTCACTTGCAGCCTGGGCCCTGACCACTCGCTCACCGCTGGGCCACTGTGGGCAAGCTGTCTACCCTCTGGGACTCTGCTTCCTCGTCTGTAAAACGTGGAAACCTTCAGGATTGTTGTGAGATTTAGAAAGAGTGTAGTTTTGCTGGTATACAGTATGTGCTCAAGAAACTGTAGCTACTGCTAACAGAATGTAACCCTTTACACACAGACAAAATAAATTACTTATCCAAAGTCACAAGCTAGTTCATGGAAAAGCTTAAATCAACAGCCGAGGTTTTTTAGAATGCTTTTTGAGAAGTGTAAAGTTGCTGGGAGTGGCGTAAGGGGTGCTGCCTGGTAAAAACATTTTGATCAAAATAAAACGAACAGCAAGCTTCCAATGGTTATATAAGAAACACAGGTCGACACGGTATTTAGAGAGCTGTGAATTTCTACAGCCAACCAGTTTTTTTTCTCCTGTTTCTCAAACTTCGAAAAGCTGTATCTGTCAAACCATGCTGGCCACATCAGACTAATTCAATTCCATGAATATGAAATCCCATTTGAAAGTAATACTCCACCTGGACAATTTTCACTAAATAGGTCAATTATTAAAAGTCTTTTCAGTTTCATACCCTGGTGAGTTCCGCGTGTCTTTTAAACCAAAACAACTTCTGGTTTGATCAGTAATACAACAACAACAAAACTAACATTCTGTTCAGCTGTAATTTGATAAAATAGGCTTATTATCTCAAATCCCTCTGGCTTTCTGCTATGCTTCTTTACAGAATTCCCGCAAGACTGCCTGGCTTTATCAAATGCTCACTGGAGGTGCTGCTTCCAGTCTGAGGTCGGCTGGGGGCATCACCTAAGTGACCCTCCTGGGTCAGCAGCGCCTGCACAAGGTGGGTGGTCTTTTCCAGACTCTGCAGCTGGACGGGGTGAGGCCGGCAGAACAGGATCTATGCGGAGTCTGTGGAGGTGAAACTCAACCATGCGCCTCAGAAGGACCCTGTGAGCCACCTGCTCAGGTGGGGGCATTCAGGTGAGGCAACCCCAGCTACACCACACCCAGCGCCGCATGTACACTTGCTTTTCTAAGGAACTCAAGGAATGAACTTATCTCTACAGCATTCCAGAGCAGAGGAAGGCCTTGACCAGCCCCTACTCCACCTGGACTGGGGGGCTTTCCCCGCGCTCCCCAGACGGTCTGCAGACATCTCCACATTGCCCTAATCGCTCTGGGGCATCCCCAGGAACCCCCTTCCCCACCCCTCAGTCTGGACAGACTGTCCTCCTCACCACTGAGGCCCCCATGGGTAGCACAGCACCCGCACACAGTAGGTGCTCAACAAGTGATTTGATACGTGGAAGGGAAAGCGACTCAGAGGCAGAGATAGAAGGGGGGTTTAGCTAACTTCCTCAGTGTTCTCACAGTCTGGGTCAGACCAGAAGTTATCATCTTTCTCTGAACTTCCCACAAATAAACACTTAGCAAGCCAAGGACTACAGGCTATGTATGGAGAAAATAAAAACAAGCAAGACAAAGTCAAAGTGCACAAGGGACCCCAGTCGGTCTGCAGACATCTCCACATTGCCCTAATCGCTCTGGGGCATCCTCAGGAACCCCCTTCCCCACCCCTCAGTCTGGACAGACTGTCCTCCTCACCACTGAGGCCCCCATGGGTAGCACAGCACCCGCACACAGTAGGTGCTCAACAAGTGATTTGATACGTGGAAGGGAAAGCGACTCAGAGGCAGAGATAGAAGGGGGGTTTAGCTAACTTCCTCAGTGTTCTCACAGTCTGGGTCAGACCAGAAGTTATCATCTTTCTCTGAACTTCCCACAAATAAACACTTAGCAAGCCAAGGACTACAGGCTATGTATGGAGAAAATAAAAACAAGCAAGACAAAGTCAAAGTGCACAAGGGACCCCAGCGGCAGGGGTTGGGGAGGCGTGTATACATGTGCATTTATATTTGTTTGTTAAGGGGACAAAGAAACTGACTGCCTGGCCCCCTCCTGATTCCCAAGTACCCGAAGAAACTGTCTCCCTGCCAGGACTGTACCCAGAGGCCTTCATGGCTCCAGCTGATACAGAAGGTCCACCCTCCACGCTTCATGGCAGCCCAGGTCTTGCAGCATTCATTCCCCATGTCCCCTAATGACTGTAGGGGTGCTGCCGCACTGTGGCCCCAGCGTAGGAAACCCCTCCCCACCTCCCCTCTGCCCTGTTCTACAGCACATCTTCACCCTTGTCTCACTCTCCACCCACCAAACCCTATTATCCACCTAGCAGGCCTATGCTGGTTTCTCTACATCACATAGTACAGCTGTGTTATTCTTCATTTTTGTGTATTTTAAAGTATCGAGCCATAAAAGATGGATAATTCTGAATTACTTTTAGTTCTATTTTACTTATGCCAGGTACAAAAATTAACAGCACAAACCATCTTCTGATGGTTGAATAACTTCATGTACTTTATATGATCCAAAATTGGATATTTGAAACAGGTCTAAGCTACACTACTGAACTTTAATCTCAAGGTTTCAAGGCCAAGATCTTAACAACAAACAGGGTACAGAGAGCACAAATACATCCAAACTGATCTATTATTAAGAAGTATGAAAGGAAACACGTTCTCACAAACAAAACAAAAAGATAACATGAAAAGTTTAAGATTAATCTTTCAATAAGCCATTTCAAATGGAGGGGTCTTCTGTAACATGATTACAAGGCCAATTAATCTCCAAATTGTATCACCTTGGAACTATCTAAATACACAAGTGGTGTGTGGAATGAATGTTTCAGTTCTGAATTTCATGATTATATACTATGTATTATTTCTTGGACCTCCCCTAGGGTAATCCCCCCCACCAGCCATCCATTACAGAAGGTGATTGATCTTCCCCTCAAACAACTATCTCATCTGAGGGGTTCCCCTTTGACAGCTTTTAAGGGGTTTTCCAGAGAAACAACTGTTAACACAGTGACCAGACAGACCTCAAAGTCAAGGCCTATACATGTGACTCCATCAGAAAACTTCCCTGCAGTTTCAATTTTACATTCTGAGGACAGGCCGCTTCCAGGCCCAGGGGGTTCCTGTAATTACTTGGCTGCCCCGTTCACCCAACTGGCAGTGTGGTGGTGGGGGGGCAGGGG